GTAGTAAAATACGTTGTACATGTATTACTTTAAAAAAATATTTAAATGTAAAAGTTTGTAAATCCAAAATTGTAATCGTATCATAAGGCACTTCAGACACCCAAACATGTACTTCACCTCTACATGTATATGTACAACTTTGTTGAATGAGTTCACATAATGAATGTCTATATATTTATTTTTATGTTATAAACTTTGTTTTCCGGACTTTTTTCCGCGCTCCGAAAAAGGCCACAAAGACAAGTCTACATATGTCAGGTCGACACAATTGTCGAATTTGATTATGAGAAACTATGTACATTTACGAGAATCAGTGCAATTTTCTTTCTAATATCTTCATTTAATTCTCTTATTATTTTTTACTTGTTTTCAAAATGAAATAGATTTTAACAATTTTAATTTAAATCTCTTACCTTTAGCTCTTACATTTTGTTTATATTTTCCAATTTCATTTTCTTCATGACCGTAGGATCCTGCGGGGAAAGGGATGGGCTGCATTCCAAATAAAAGAAAGTTATGTCAGATTATGTCCCGTTAATAATTTTGTCGGTAAATACATAAACAAGAGGCCCATGGGCCACATAGCTCACCTGAGAAACTTTGACCATTCCGTTTTTTTATACCAGATTCCCCTTTTAAAACATATTGTTACCCCACCCTACTCCGTTGATCATAATTTAGACAATCTGAAATCTACACTACCATAGGATGCTTTGATTCCCCATTGTAAAACTTTGATTCCCATCGTGGCCCCAACTTACCCCTGGGGGACATGATTAAAACAATTTAGAATCTACACTACCTAAGGACGCTTACACACCAGTTTCAGCTTTTCTGGCCAACGCAGCACAGTTAAGGTTACAAAAGGGAGGCGGAGCCTAATTTGTACGGGAAAACTTGACTATGACATCATACACAATATACGTCACACAACATTTCTTTAAAATACCACAAAATGAGTTTATCTGCTAAGAAGAAGGTATGGTTTCCATACAAATTTTGCCCTATGATTTTCTAAAAAAATAAAACTAGTGTAAAAGTTGAAAACTTGTGCTTTTTAAATAATGGAAACTCAATGCAGAAATATCATACAAGTCATTTTTCTCACATGTGTTTTTAAATGCTAATTATGACGTCATAAACATGTGCATTTTCCCGTATTTTCTTAAAAAGTTGCAGAAGACACCAATTTTCAATGGAATTTTCTTTCAGATAACATTGTCCACAGGCATCGCCCACAAAGATTTTGAAATATGTGATTTCTTATTGAATTTTGCACAAAATATCAAAAAAGTAAAGTGGGCGACGGCTGTGGACACTGTTTTCTAAAGGAAAATCACCCTTGAAATTAGCCATTTTGAGGCTTTTTCTGTTGAAAATAGAAAATGCTTCACATTTATGACGTCATATTTGCAGAATGGTAAACCTTAATGCCATATTTTTTTCTGATTTATCCGATTCATTTATTTAACTAATATTTAAGCCAGTTTCAAAACTTTTTGATGATATTACATTTTTAGGGCGCAATAAAGCTAAAACCATACCTTCTTCTTTAACCAGTAAGAAATCATCAAAGTACATAAAAACTTACTACAGCGTGTTGTTTTGTCTATAGTTAAATCCCACATAACAAGTTATAAACAAGTCACTGATCGCAATACACTTGTCAATGTGACGTCATTTCTTACAACGTGACGTAGTTTGTATGCATTGAGAGACAGATCAAGTAATATTTTCTCAACAAAATATGTATTTTCTAATTAAATAAAATATCATTTACAGATATTCTTTGGGGCAATAACTTGAATTTAATATCTTCCTTACTATTTTATTAATTTATTTTCTCTACATTACGTATTTAATTGACACTGCCGTATATTTGTATGCAAGTACATCGGAGGGTAATGCAGGGGGAATTAATAAATCGATCTAGTGCAAGGGCATACACTCTATGGATCAAAGTAAGTTTTTACATTTCAACTATTAACTATTAAGGTATCTGAAACGTGCTGCGATCCTGATGAAATCTTTAAAACAATATAATTATATCAATATTTCATGCCGCTGACCAGCAAAAAATATAGCATTCGGTCATACAAGTATAATTTCAACAATGAAATTGCAGAATTTAGACTGGATTGCAGCACTATTGCAGAACTATAATGCGTGTTGAAAATATTAAATTTTATATACTAAACTTGGACATTTAACTCGGTTATGCCCTTGCACTAGTGACATTTATATGTAACATCAATACTTCAAGTCAATGGGCTGAAATTGCGTGACTGTCGCATCACACGACTAGTCTAAATATAAAATGTGATCGTCCTCGATATATAGTTATTATTCATAATTACAATTATCCGATATAAATAATGTACAGCTGTACTAAAAATAATCGCCATCCCGATTACGAATACATTTTTAAATACAAAATTTAGTCGATATTTCCATTGCGCACCTTAACTGTGCTGCAAAGTGGTTCTTGCGAAGAAGATTTTCAAAGATTTTTCCTATATATTTCTATGTCAAACTTTGATTCCCCACTGTGGCCCCGCCCTATCCCCAAGGGTCATGATTTTAACAATTTAGAATCTACACTAACCCAGAATGCTTCCACATAAGTTTCAGATTTTCTGACCCTGTGGTTCTTGAGCAGAAGATTTTTAACCTATTTTTGTCTTTTCTTGATAATCTCCCGTTGTGAGGCGATTTGGCCCTTCATTTTAACAATTTAAATTCCCCTTCATCGAAGAATGCTTTATACCATTGTACCAAATATTGTCAGAAAATTGATCAGAAAAGCTCACGTGAGCCTTTAGCTCAGGTGAGCTAAAGAATTCAAAGCTAATTTATTGTTATGTCTTTTACGACTTTTAAAATTAAGCGCAACCATTCACACGATAAATTTAAGACCTGGCTTTTTTATATAATAGACAGCTTCTTTGAAAAAAAAATGGAACTAATAAATTTACGTACCTTGTCATTGGTCATTAGCAAAATTGTTTGGTTAAAAAAACATTCTGATCGTACACATAAGTGCTCTGAAGTCGACATCAAAAAGATTCACGAGTTTCTGATTGACAAGCTGTTCTTCAAGAAGAGGTCTTTCAACAGCCCATGGTAATTCCCATCGGTACCAATTGCACCCTGTTATTAGCAGACCTTAGCCACTTATTGTGGCCCTCTCTTCGACATTAAGATATATCGACAACGGATTGTCAATAAACAATTGTAATTACACGTACCATTCTTATGTCGATACGACATATCCTGGTGAGCTTGGGATAAAAAAAAACAAAATCTGACTCATCCGTTTCATATTTGGATATTTTACTTGAAAAAGATATTCATGGTAATCTAATCACCAACCTGTATGATAAACGTGATGACTTTAACTTTTCTATCATCAACTTCCATTACTTATGCAGCAAAATACCTTCATCACCTGCATATGGAGTTTATGTATTTCAGTTGATTAGAGGAGCATGCTCTACGTATGATTATTTCTAAAAGGAGGTTAATTATTGACCAACAAGTTTATGAAAGAAGAATAACAGCAGTGTCGTTTAAAGTAATAATTTCTTAAGTTCTATTGTCGATACAATGACCTTGTTAGCGAATATAATTAATCATTTAGGTAAATGCTGACGGATGTTTTAGATACTGATTGTAAGTCCATTATTTATACATTGAGATGACTACAGATATTTCCAGATTATGACAAGGAGCACACGACGGGTGTGACCGTTCGGCAGGGGATGCTCACTCTTCCTTAGCACCTGATCCCGTGTAAATTTTATTTGGATTTCTCAGTTTAACTCTGTAAGTCCTTCTTTGTTTTACAAAAATTTGAATATTCCTATATTTGTTACCCAAAAGTAGTATAATGAATCATAATTTTAAATATTAGATAAGTTAAAATTACGATAGGAAGCAAAATTGCCAAAGTAAAATAAAATGAAGAACACGCCCGGAAGAAGCAGTTTCAGTTGAGGGGGGGGGGGTATATATTTTCAGCTAGGGGACACCATCAGTCATCCCCCACCACCAAAAAATCATCAGACGTTCTTTTAATTTTTTAATTTAATTTAAAAATAAGTCGTAAAAAATATTTCGTTTGGAAAACAAAAAAAAATTTTGATGTGAAAATAGACAAGAAATTTAGAAAAGAATTGTGGCCCCTCCATAGTAAAAAATCCTGTAGACTTGCCATTTGTGGCGTTGTGTTTTATATTAAGCATAGAAATTAAATTTGCGAAAATAGAGTTTACGAACACTCATAAAATGAAATCGAATTCAACTCAGCTGCATGTTCGGCTGTATGCTCGGAACTACATGCTTGGGTATGTGAGTTATTTACTTACATATGTAAAATATGAAACTGATTCGATTTCAAGTTTTAATTTACAATCTTACTAGATTAGATTCACAAACTTAAAAGTGTGGGGTTTTTTTTAAACGGTTACATTTCATGAAAATTTGAAGCTTAACTCCTACCAGTCGTAGCGTCTCAATATATCAAATTTTCGAGATCCCACCTCTGATGTTTCGGAGGTCCATGTTTGCTTTGTTTCCATTTTGTATTGTTTTATGGAGTTTGATATTGAATGAAAATTCATGAACAACAATCTTTTGCAGGAACTTAGAAAATTTTAGATTAAAGGGAAAAACAGTCTTCTTTAAAGGGCAGTCGGACTCAGTTTAATACTTTTTGTTTTTTACGCGCAGAACACATTCCCTGAATAGTCTGTATTACCGAAGGAACAGACCATTTTTAATGTTAATGCAAAAAATCTATGCGCATAATGTTTACAAAATCCAGAAAAATTATTCTTAATTTTCAGACTTTGAAAATTTCATAATAATTTAAATAGTGTTAACGTTTATCAATGTATGTTGTATTTCGAAAACATTTAAATCCGCCACCTTTTACTCTAGGACCACAGGTTTATCGAATATCAATATACAATCTATTTAAAAAATGTTTGAAGGTCGCATAGACAGCTTGCAGTTATGAATGTGTTTAACAGAGCTTTTTTTTCTTTTGAAGGTAAACAGAAATAGGGACTGCAATCTTTAATAGTACAAAAACTATATATCCAAAGAAAATCTCTAATCAACAGATAAAGTATATCAGACAGAGGATGCTATAACGTAAGTACATTTTTTTTTATATTCTATTTTTTAAAAATAATTTCAACTTTCGTTTTGATTTTTCGCCTTGAGATTCATAAGATATGAATATTAATAGAAGTGTTGCAAGTAATACGGTACTCTCTTTGTTTCACTTTTACTAATTACTTATTTTCTAAAGAGAAATTGAAGTAAACCTCATTTTTTTTTAAATTTCAAAACATTTTGCCTACTCATAGACAAGGATCAGGTTGTTTTGATATTTAATGAATGATTAAAGCTTCATTAAATTTGATTATTTTTAATGTGCCAATAAATTCCGTTGTATCAATGCTTTAATGAACGCAGACCTGTTTACTCTTACGATTTCACCGTATTTTGTACGAATTTTTAGTCCAAAATACGTCTCACGTTTTGCTATTATGAAAATACGAAAATCCGAAATACACTTGTTTAGAATTTAGCAGTGAGATTTCTTTATGATCTGTCTCAATTTCACGCTTAAAAAAGAATTAAGATTTCAAACGCAGAACTGATATCGGGGTGCTAAAATGCAATGGTATGATATGACAACGACCAAGTTATTAAACCATATTTGAGCAATCAGAAAAGCAGTTGTTCTCCATTAACATATGTAAAATTGACGGAAAATGAAAACTTATTGGCAAAAGCCAAATCTTATGTACAAATCTAATCAAAAGTACGGAGAGACAACGATATGGGTAAACAGGTCTGTGAACGAATTTGGTGCATCAAAACTTTGTTAAATTCTTCAACATTAATGAAAGTAAGAGGGCTTCTTTATGTGGCCATTAAGTATGGCGGCCTACTTTATGTTTTGCCCGCTTGACAGGGCGAGATGAAACAATGTCTTTCATAAGCCTTTTTTAATGCACATTATGAATGAGGAAATGCAGAAAAGATGTCGTTGTAGTTAAACAAAATATTGGACGGCCTGCCCTTCAATTATTTCAAGTAACAGCTTTTTAAAAAGCTTGCCTGACTAAATCAATTAATATCTGCAGGATGAGTCATAAACATTTGAGCAATACTATTGTGGGTTTAAAATATTTAAAATTACTTTAAATTTTGAAAACCCCGTGTAACTGAAATCCTTGATTTTATTTAACGTACAGAAGAATCATCTCTACACTGTATACGAAAGAGTTGTTATTATGTGTGGTTGGATCAAAATTTAAAGCTACATTACTCCTATTATATAATATCAAAAATATCTGTAATAGAATCATGCATCGTACATGTAACCATTTTAAAAGATATGATCAAAATACACATTTTCTTTGAATGAAGTAAACAGCAGCACATGTAATGTGTGTTCAATATTATTTTTTTTTTCTTAAAAAGGATTGGGGGGGGGGGGGTAGTGCCACCACCATATATATTATTGATAATAAAATACGGAAACTCAATATTTAGGCTTTTGTGGAAATAAAAATCCAAGATTTTGTACTGGTTGCATATCTTTTGTTCTTGTCTGAAACGGGTTTACAAATGTTCACCCATCTAAAGACCATGACCTTGTTGAACTGCCTTGTTTATTATTTTTGGACTGGTCTATTGATGTAGTTAACAAACTGCAGGATTTGGAAACAAATCAGAAAAAAAATCATTTCTTTAGCTAGTGTTGCATGTCCATATACTGATATATACGATAGGTTACTTAAAAGAATGAGATAAAAACAGAAGGAGGTTAAACTTCATTTAATTCCATAGAAATAAGCACACTCATTCAAACATTGAATCACATAATAAAACAATTATTGCTGTTTTTGAGGCCTTCGGACTCGGTGAATACTGTACTCCTCAGTTGACTAAATAATTGTATTGACCTCAAAACCTGCAATAATTGTATAATATTGGAATATGCAAACAATTGTGCCTTCCATATGGTGGAAAAAGTCCATGGCTGATTTCTACGAATAATTTTAATTGCAGATGACAAAATGTCTTACAAGGGATTCGGATACGTTGTGGACTCATGCCCCCATAGCAAAGAAAATTTAACGGAGGCATCGACTAGACTAAATTGCAGTGTTGATGAGAACGGACGCAATCAGTATGTGTGTATCCCGAATGAAGACCTGACAGCCATTGTGGAATTCTGTTATACCAAATCTATTGTTGCACTCTATCAGGCTGGTAAAAATATATAGTTTATAGAGATTCTTAACGAAAGTTAAGAAATAACTCTCTTTCCCTCTCTCTTTTTCTCTCTCTCAAGCTCTCACAAAACTGAATTGAATAATAGCAGAAACTTTAAAGACTGATGTAAATACAATAAAAATGGATCTATTGTTTTTGTATTGATTTATGACTTTTTTTTAAACTCAATTCAATCATACTTTCTCAAACTCAGGTAATTGTCTGAAAACATTTCAAGATGGATTTTTGGACCACATTAGTTGTAAAAATTTTACAAAGGGATGCCCATCAGAACCGTTCAGAAGTACAGACCTGTATAAATGTATGTAATTCTTACAATGTGTATAATAAATCACTTCAATATCAATTTCATTTGTCAGTCTTAATATTTCGCAAAAGTGGTCAGAGTTGAAAGTTTGACGATTTTGTACATTTAAAAAACGACGATTGGATAGATTGAGATCTACTTCCACAGCTTGTAAAAATGTAAATCGATATTCTTTAAAATTTTGGAAGTGGAAAACCTTACGACTTTGTCGAATTCTTTAAAGTTTCCACATGAACTGAATTCAATTTTACAATAACCCTACTCCATTTTTCTACGTAGATCCAGCTTGCAGTCGTCTTAGGAGGGAGTACCGGTGTTTTGTTGCAGATCCTTTGTGTCATTCGTGAGTTTTTCCCAATACAAATGTGCCATATTCAACTTAAGTTTACGATACTTTACTATACCGTTATATCGTACTTGTAAATCCTCTGATCCAGTTAAAGTTTGCTTCAATGTAGTCCGATCCCTAGGTGTTTAAAAGTAGCAGTTTAAGTAATCAAAAGTGCTCATTAAAGTATCTCTGAATCCACAAAATCATGTAAATTAATCCACAGTATTTCTTTAAAGTTAAAGATTAAAGTTAATCATAGGTTAATGTGAGGGTCTTTATTAAACGGTCTACTGCAAGGGCATACACTTAATGGCTCATAGTAAGCTTTTAAAGATCAACTCAAATGGTATTAATGTATCTAAAAGTGCTGCAATCCTGATAAAATCTTGCTAAATAATTTCTTGATGTCAATATTTCTGACCAGCAAAAAACGCAGCATTATGTCATACAGTCCCTGAAACGTTCTACTTTCCCATTTTTCCGTTCGCTCACCGTTCGTTCTCCCTTAGTTCAGAGTGCGTTCACCGTTCGCTCTCCCTTCACAGTTTCGTGTCACCGTTCACCTTGCACTCGCATTCACCGTTCACAAAACGTTCACCGTTCGCTTTTCGTTCCGTTTACTTTGCGATCATCTTGCGTTCACCTTGTGTTCACCGTTCACTTATAGTTCAGTCTTCATTGTCATTCGAAAGTCCGAAGTGAAAGGACTTATCTTTTTGATGGTAAGGATTTACACGTTTTTAAATTAAATAACAAAGATATCGTGGTTGAAGAATACCTATTGCATTGCAAAAATTATCTACGATATTTATATTTCTATCATTATAATTTGGCTGTTACTTTATCCATGAAATTTCCCTTGACATTTATACATTACGTACCTACATATGTGTAGAACGATGCTAAAATATTAAATTAAAAAGAGCAATGTACAAATGCTTTACGCACGGCAACACTTTGTTGTAATATAAATTACGGCAGGGAATATGCATCGAATTCAGTTTCAAACTTAATCCTTCAAAGTATATATTTCCATTAGTTACAGGCATGCAAAAATCAGATCTAGTAATGATAGGGTAAATATTTAAACCTCTAGGAAATACTAAGTGACTCTTTGCCTTCGGCATGCTCAGTGAAAGGAGATTTCCACCCCTTGACTGTGTCCAATGAATTTGATTGACAGGACAAGCACGTGGACTTCCTGTGAACCGTGTGAAGTTGAAGATGGAAAATAAAAGCCGATGATTACTGTCAAATGGATTTGTTAATCTTAAAAATTTGATTAGTTACTGCTTGGCATATATATAAAAAAATATTTTTGATACAAGAGATATCTTAGAGGCTCTCTCTCTCTCTCTCTCTCTCTCTCTCTCTCTCTCTCTCTCTCTCTCTCTCTCTCGTCCATTTCTCTGTTCAATTAAAATAATGACAGCACATTACGTATTTAGTTTAATTTTAAAATTAAGTCTATTAATAATAATTGGAATTTCTCTTTCCATCATCTTGTCCGAGTAGGAGGTCGGGTGGAAACGTTCAATGGCGTCGACGTAGTCGTAAAAGAGATTAGTGGCACTTTGAGTGATATGAAACACTTTTAAGTTTGTCTTATGGTATTGTTCAAAGAATTTTGATGAAGGATAAAATTATAGATAAAGTGTACAATTGTTGCCAATTGTTCTTAAAGAAAATAAAATAGGTGAATGTTTTGTAAATATCATTTTTTTTAAAATAAAACGATAGGAAGGCGTTTTTAAAAGTGTGTGAAGCGCATATCCGTTTTATGACATTATTCAGGTGCAGCGACTACCATAATTGCACTTTGTGTTTAATTCGATATTTCGAAAAGTATAAATCATTTTAATTTGAATTTTTCAGGACTGATTTAAAATAAATATAGCTTCCATCGTGTAAAATTTTGTTAATTTACGTCGACTAGGCGAAATTGTATCGAAGTTGTGACATTACTTTTGGATCAACCCTCGTATGTGCAGAAAAAAAATGGTTTTATTATTTATTTATTTATCTATATATTGTTTTATTTATATTTTTGCACCTGAAAAAGACTTATTGAATAATAGAATAATTTCAATGCAAGTAAAATATCGGAGGCATTCCAAATAAATCGTTCATCTTGCGTTCATCGTTCGTTCAGCGTTCAATTTGGGCTCGCGTTCGCGCTCCGTTCGCATTCGGCGTTCACTCATCGTTCCCCGTTCACACATTGTTCACCAAGTTGGGTTCAATGTTCGTACATCGTTCACCCACCGTTCGCTGTGCGTTCGTTCAGCGTTCGTTCACCGTTCAGGTGGGAAAGTAGAACGTTTCAGGAACTGTACAAATATGATTTTAAGAATGGAATTGCAGAATTTAGATAGGATTGCAACTTTTTTCAGAAAATATAATTCGTGTTGAAATCATTTATAAACTAAACTTTAAACTCTAACTTGGTTATCCCCTTGCACTGGTGAAATTCGTAGATGACATCAATACTACTAAGAAAATTGCTTAAATCATGTGACAAGTCTAAATATAAAATTTAATCGTCCTCAATATGTACTTGTAACTATTTACCATAATTACAATTATCCGATATTAATAATATAATAAAATAAAGGCCTTTGTGAATATGAATACATCTTAATCACAAAAATGTCTATATTTTCAATGCACACCTTTACTTTCCTGCGGTGCCATGGGGGATTGAAGATCCCCCGCCGAACTGTCACACCCGCCGTGTGTTCCTTATCCTGATCGGGAAAATAAGTTTTGTTTTTTTTTCTTACTTATCCTCTGCTAGAGCAAAATATATTTATACTTAGTAAGATGGAAAGATATGGAGATAACGAACAGTATTCAGTCTCAAAGTCCATAAAACAATAGCTCTTTCTATTTTTAAAAATATATGTACCGGTATATATTTTCAATTTATTATAACATCTGAATAACCACAATGATGGGAAAATTGGCATCTCAGTTTCTGGCCTATATTTATTAAGATGCCTTATTTTAGTTATTCCAATGCATCGACGGTTGCAATAGATGATGGAGCCGTTAGCATAGGAACAATCCTTGGTGTCGTCTTATCTTTCCTGGTACTGGTGGGGATTCTTTTGATATCTTTTGCATTTTGGAGACGTTGGCAAAGACGAAAGCGCCACAGGGAGTATGGAGGTACATTTGTATTTGATATATATATTATTCAATTTAGGCCTGTAAAATATAATTAGAATTTACTGACCAGAGGTATATGAAATGCTAATATTATGAAAAAAAGCAAAAAAAAAAAAAAAAAAAAAAAATCTTCGTAATCTTCGTAATTATTGCAAATGATGTGTTTTCTTGCTTATCAAAATTTGTGTAATTTTGTAAATGGTTGGAAAAAACAACAACGGAATGTTTGCAAGTTCACTGAACAATGTTATCTTCGGATTATTTTCAAATTGCTTTTTTTGTTTCATACGAAGGACTAAAACAACAGTCTATCCACCCTTTTTGGTTAGTCTTAGGTATGAACGTAAAAAAACTATTCATTTCACGAAGCCAAAATCAACTTGATCTCCACATATCTGCGCTGTTTCATAAAAATGGATTGCTTTTTGCATGAATCTCTTACAAGTTTTTCTTACATGGGATAAACGCAAGAAAAACATGATTAATGTAAACAAGTCTCTAAAACTTTGTTAACACTGCTAATATCGGAATATTTTATTTTGTACCATTAGAAAGGGGTCGAAAAAGAAGTTGAATAGTTTCTTTTAAATGGGAATTTCAGAGCAAAGGGTTATTACACCTAAAATGATTTACAAAAAGACTGAAAAATGCATTTTGTAAATTGAGAGATAGTTGTTTTCAAACTCACAATGAAATCAATTATCAAACTAGGGCTTATTGTAACGGGAACCGTTACAGATGTTCCCCAAACGCTCCCCAACTCCCTTTTGTGCCATATTCCGTGTAAGATTCATTAAATAAGACAAACGCCATACATTTAAGATTTTAACAAAGTTTTCCCAGAGGTAATCAATTTCAGCATTGCACGCATGCGCATTTGAATGCATGTGCGTAATGACCATATCATCTTGTCTACACTAATCATATATTTTAATATACTAAATATTACAGCATTTAATCCAAAAATATGTTTAATCTAGTGTATTTGTAATTTTACTCATTTCACGTGCACGCACGTGCATGCATGTGCATTATGACCATACCCTTTTGTAGGAGTCTATAATGTCTATCTAAGTTCTGAATCCCATGCTGTTTGGTTGAAAACCAAGGGAGTTATAGCCATTTAAAGTTTAAGCCAATCAGATTGCAGCGCACGTGCATGCGCGTGATTTGATGAAAATTATTATATATCATATTGTAGGATATCCTAAAGCATGTCTATATTTTAAATTTCAAAGCATTTCGTCAAAAAACAAAAAAGATATTGAGAATTTTGTTTCAGCCAATCAGAGCGAAGCGCACGTTCATGCACGTGCAAGCATGCTCATGATGACCATACCTTCTTGTAGGAGTCCATTACGTCTGTCTATGTTCTAAATCCCATGCTGTTTGGTTGAAAAACAAGGGAGTTATAGCCATTTAAAGTTTTAGCCAATCAGATTGCAGCGCACGTGCATGCGCGTAATTTCATGAAAATTTCTATATATCAAATTGTAGAACATCCTAAAGTATGCCTATGTTTTAAATTTCACAGTATTTCGTCAAAAAACAGAAAAGATATTGAGATTTTTGTTTCAGCCAATCAGAGCGAAGCGCACGTGCATGCGCGTGAGTTCGTGCTAATTTGACAGTGTCACGTTATCTACACTATTAATATATCTTTAAATAATAAGTTTCAAATCATTTCATTAAAAAATGTAAAAGTTATAGCTATATTAAGTATACAAGTCATTTCACGTGTTGCACGCGCACGCACGTGCATGCGTATGCGCGCAAAATGACCTTCGTTCCGCACACCTACACTACACACCCATTAACCCTAAAAAGGTTTTAGGTCAGT